TTGAGTCGGCCGAGGGGCGTGGTCGCGCACGTAGCGTGTACCACGGACCGCGCTTGATTAATCGATCGTGTTAAGTATAGACCTTCAAGCACTTCATGTCAAATTATTCAGTAATCAGTATTTCATATTCAGTTGCGTATTAATTGCCGAGAGAAAAGCATGATTGGTCGTGAGACGGCTTAACGCCGTAGGCGGCTGATGCGTAAGTGGGTTTTGACCCCCGACGACAAGAAGGGCCGAGAGCCAAGACAACCCGAGGAGGCTGAAAATAGGGCTAAAACGACGCACGCATGGCCTAAGAGACGGGTACGAGCTCGTATGCGAGGCGCACAAGTACACAAAAAAGGGCGCATTCAAGAAGGGCGTGCTCACGCGCATTGGCGTAGACGCGCATGGCGCTTGATGGTTTGGCGAAGTGGCGCGCAAGGGGTGGATGTTGGGTGGCTGATGCGCGCGAGGGATTGTTGCGGCGGAACGAGCGAGCGATGGGCGTTGGGTAAGGTAGCGTTGGGCACACGCAAGCACGTACGGGTGTTGGGAGCAGTGGGGCGCGTTGGGCGTGCGGATGACATGCGCGCAGGTGGCGTGCGCATGGGCACAAGCCTAGACCGCGTAGGTATAGGAGTGTTGGACGACGAGTGCGGGGCGCACGGCGACACGCGCGAGGCATAATTCATGAATAAGGTGGCATGCCTAATCCTCGTAGGAATAGGCAAGGCGCGAATACTAATCCTCGCAGGAATAGAAAAACAGTTGAGTGTCGGAACGCGCGTGGGAGATCGGTGACGGGAGTAATCCTCGGAAGATCAGGAAACGTAACCGGGAGCATATTCCTAGTATGAATAGGAATAGTGGATATGGGCTCGAAGCACAATCCTACAAGGAATAGGAATGGAACACGCAGGGCGCGAGGCCTTAAGCCTCGAGGAAAGAGGACATGCACGCGTGCGAGACGGACGAGGCGCGCGATGCCTCGCGCGCCGAGGACTAGGAATGTAACACCCCTCCTGATCGTTAAATCAGAGTGCGAAAAATTTGCAAAGTTATTTAAAAATAAAGCCTTTTACTTTGCGGAAACTGATTTGGGGTGCTACCTTAAAATCGTGACTTAATTTGGAAAAACCGTTATTTTAATTTTTAAGAAAACCATCCGGTTACTGAATCATAAAGTTTTCCAAAAGTTCGTCAAAATATGAGCACATCAAAAGTCATCAAAAACATCATCAGCGGAAGCGTAAGTCATCATAATAAATATACAGTCAAAAACATAATGTTTTGAAGCCTCCGTCAGCTCATGCTCCCGGCCCGACGTCCTGACCTGAAAAACATGATAAAAGTGGGAAATGAGCACTATGGCACTGTGCTCCGTGGAAACTCATACTAATGTAAACATTGAAAATAATAACAACATCATGATATCAGTATATACATAACCTCAACCTCAACCTCAAGCCGGTAATAACATGAACAAGAATCTGAAATCGTCACGCAAACGTGACCCTGACCGTTACCTCATCTGCCGGCAAAAACTAATGCCGGACACCATGTGCACACTCTAGTGGGCAGACTAGGGCCATTAGAACCCAGAATGGACCGGCGACCATTCCGAGCGGATACCTCAACTGAAATACATACCTCAAACATGGTACCGTAATTATAATCAATGTAGAACTTAGTCTGAGTCCCCACCTGAACTGCTGAACTGAACCGGTAGTGATGATGCTTGATCAAACTGAAAATAATATAAACAATTACTAATGACTATGCTAAGACCGTTAACTTAACTGATTAACTTCGTTAAGATGCTCTACTGAACCTGACATGATATTTAGACTTAACCAGAATAACCGGAACTGAACTGACATGAACTGATTGGACATGAATTTACTGAACTGAAGTAATCCCGGAAATTTAACTGAAAATATCATTAAAATCATGAACCGGGCTGAAACCTTAATCATAAAAAACGAACTGATTTATAATGGGGCTGAACTGGTCCAGCCGGTCTGAACCGGTCTGGAACGGACTGCGGTTCGACCGAACCGGCAGTCGACTTGGCTCGGCCAGCAGCCTGCTGCGTGCTGCGTGCAACATGCACGGGCGCTGCTGGCTTACTGCGGGTGCTGGACCGCCGTCCCAGGCGCGGCTGGGCGTGCTGGGCATGTGCGGCGTCCCGCTGGCTGGCTGGTGGCCTGCCCGCGTG